CCTTCACCTGTCAGTTCACCCAACCCAAATGCTACCTCTGGCACCACTATCAGACAAGTGGTGGAATGAACCGGGCCGGTTCAGGCCTCGGGCCTAGGCCCGGCCGGTTCAGGCCTCGGGCCTAGGCCCGGCCGGGCCTCGGTTCAGTAATAGCAGGCCCGAGCCCGAACCGGGGTAGGGCGGTCCCGGGTCCGGTTCCGGGCCGGACCGGGCCGGTTCGGGCCACCCGGTTTAATTTTTTTTTCCTTTCTTCCCCCCCTTCACCCCCCACCCCCCCCCCCCCAAACCCCCCCAAACCGGCCTAAATAGATAGCCCAAGCCCAACAGCCCAAAAAAATGAAAAAAATTACTCCCTCCGTCCCAATATAAAATGCACATTTGCGTTTGGGGAGTTTTTAAGGGTGAACACTGTTTGAACACTGTTTGACACTGTTTAGACACTGTTTGGCACTGTTTGGACACTGTTTGGCACTGTTTTGCACTGTTTTGTTTGCCAAAAAGGGAAATGTGCCTTTTATATTGGGACGAACCGAAAAGGAAAGTGTGCCTTTTATATTGGGACGGAGGGAGTAAGAAAAATAGATTTGGCTCGGACCCGGGCCCGAACCGGCCGGGCTGGGCCGTCAAACCCATGAACCGAGCCCGGAACCGCCCCACCCCCGGGCCTCCGGCCCGAACCGGACCCGGACCCGGACCCGGACCCGGAAAACCGGGCCGGGCCGGGCCCGCACAGTAGCGGGTCGGGCCGGTCCCGGGCCGGGCGGCCCGAACCGAGGCCTCATTTTTTGCCACATTAGGCTTCATTTCAGACCCCACTGCAGTGACCCCTCCTTCCCATTCTTCTGCAGACCCCGACCTTACCTTAGACCCGCCCCAGTCCACTTCTTCAACTGCCGTAGTCACTACCTCCTCGACTGAGAGTTCTTCACCTGTAGTTAATATTCATCCCATGCAAACCCGGTCCAAATCTAGAATTTTTAAGCCCAAAACTATTTTTACTTTGAGCACAGTTGTTAACACACCTGATCCCACATGTTTTTCTTCTGCAAATAAACATTTAAAATGGAGGGAAGCTATGGCTGAAGAATTTAATGCCCTTATCTCTAATCATACTTGGGATTTGGTTCCGTTTGATGCTAAAAAGAATGTGGTTGGGTCTAAATGGATTTATAAGACTAAGTATCTGGCTGATGGTTCTGTTGATTGCTATAAAGCTCGATTAGTTGCACAGAGTTTTAATCAGTAGGCGGGTATTGATTTTACTGAGACTTTTAGCCCTGTTGTTAAACCTACTACTGTTCGTCTTGTTCTTACCTTAGCAGTGTCGTTTGGTTGGCCCACTCGCCAACTATAGTTAAAATGGCGAAATGAACAACTCTAGTTAAAATGGCGTAGTCATTGGATTGAGAACATGAATTTAACTCAATTAAATTGAATCTCCTTTTGTTCCTCAATAGCTCAGTGGTAGAGCGGTCGGCTGTTAACCGACAGGTCGTTGGTTCGAATCCTACTTTTTGTTGGAAAAAATGTGTTAAAATTGCATTAAACGGTCATTTTGGGGCATGCAATACTTTGAGTGGGGTCCACTTCTGATTTGGGTCGGGGCAAAGTGGTTTCAGATTGTCCTTGTTAAAGGCTACACTTCGATATATGGTACGCTCAAAACGGATAACGGGTGAATGAGAAATTGATTCTCAAAGTTTACTCGTTAAAATGATAAACTGGGAAAATGATGGGTTTCTAGTGTGATTTATCTTTCACCGGAAAACCCAATGACTTAAGTGGAAAGACTGACTTTGCGCGCAGGGGGTGCCGATCAAATCCCGAAAACGGAGAAGTAAAACCACAATTTGCGTGCGCGGGAGATTTGCGGACACGAATGTCGTCCAAAATTTGTATTTCTTAAAGTATTAATCAAGTGGACATAATCATGTCATCAATAAACTCTTTGTGAATTGATAACGCAACTAATGTGACGTGCACTTTGTCGTGCGTGCACTCAAAATAAATCGATACTAACACTTATACGTAGCATAGGTGAAGTAGAGTTCGTATCCACAGGGAAAAGAATAACTTTCTTTTTATAAAAATAGTAAATAAAGGGGGGGGGGGGGGTTTGATTGTTGAGTGATTTAATTAACTTAAACACGAAGATGAACGAGTTATATGGGATTGAATTCAAGAATAAAAGAGACTTGGTCTTGCTACTTTCCACTTGTTGATATATTTTAGTCGATCATTGTTATATCTATAACTTATCCCCTCTCGAATACTCAATCGAGGAGTATATCCAATTCATCGAGGGTAGTTATTAACAACGACCGTTCATTAATAACCCTTACTATTTATCAAATATAGAACAACGCCGTATACCGATATAACAGTAGCTTTTAACCTCTTTAACTCCTTGATGAAATCAATTAAGATTGATAACCTCAACACAACGGTTTCGGTTTAACCAACAAAATTAATCTCTCTTAAATTTATTAACCACGACCGTGCATTAATAAACCGAAGTTACTTACTTATGAAACCATCAACGTTTAACCATCGGTTCGTTGAACGTTTCTAGTAATAATCAATGTTGGAACGTTAACTAATCGTCACTTAGCCACCCTCCAACATTAATATAGAATGAGATTAAGGGAAGAATTAATAATCAAGAGGAGAAAGTAAGAAAATAACTCACAACTTTAATAATCAATCAAGCTTCAAGAGCAAAACCAAGAAATGGAAGTTTAGCTCCTCATTTGGAGACTAAACATGCTAAAAGAAATATAGAGAAATTCTATTCTAAACTGAACTTAAGAGTATAAAGGAATTGGTGTCTAAAAGTGAAGGAAAGGAGGTGTATTTATAGGCTTTTTGAGGTGGAGGTCGAGTACTCGATCGAGTATATACATATACTCGATCGAGTATGTGTAGAACTTCGAATTCGATCCATACTCGATCGATATTCGGGTATAATTCATAGCTATACCCGATCGAGTATGTCGGTGTACCCGATCGGGTATAGACACTCGATCGTGGAAAATCTTCTCCTGCATGTTCCTTTGTTTTCGGATCCAATCCGATTTGAAATTTCAACCAGATACCCGATCGAGTATATGTGATACTCGACCAAGTATAGACCAAAATCATGATTTCATTTTTCTCTTGTGATTTTTGCACCTTCTTTCCACTTTTGGGTTTCACCAACTATCCTTTGAGTGATGGTAGACCTGTTTGAGCCCAGAATAAACCTAATCTAAACATTTTACAAGAATTTCAACAACTAAACTATTACACCAAAAGTGTGTAATTTCCGAAATGCTAAACTACAAAAAGTAACTAAAAATGCAAACAAAAACACGGAAATTACACGTGTATCATAATGCATTCAATCTTTTTTTAAACATGCTTGACCATAAAAATGTCTTTATATCCTTCTTTTTTGAAAAACTTTTTTCTGCACTTAGCATCATTTAGTAAATCAATACGGAGTATAACGTTACAACAATTTTGAAAATACAACAAAACAAGTAAGTTAAAAAAGAGAAATTGTCCAATAAACATATACTACCTCCGGTTTTTTTTAATCTTCACAGTTTGACTTCACACAAAATAAGGAAAGAAATTTGACTTTACTGTAGAGTACACTGTTGAGGCACTGTTTGACACTGTTTGACACTGTAGAGACACTGTTTGGCACTGTTTTGATGTAGATTTCTTTGCCAAAAAAGGAAATAAGGAAGTGTGAAGTTTATTTTAGACCATCCCAAAAAGGAAAGTGTGAAGTTTATTAAAAACCGGAGGGAGTACATAATTGCACAAATAGGAGTAAAACTTAAAACTTTCTTCAATAGGAGTAAACATTTATTTTGTACCCTTAATATCCCTAACCTAGTTAATTCTAAAATATGACTTATTTGATCCTATTAAAATAACAAAAAATATAAGTTCATTCACTGGAAACAATACCTTTATGCAGGCTTTTAATATAAAAAAAAAACTAATTTCATCCCAACAATATTAAAATATTACTACCTCCGTTCTTTTTTATTAGTCTTTCTTTCCTTTTTGGGACATTTTTTTTTATCTGTCCTCCTTTCCATTTAAGGAACGTTTTTACTCTAAATATACCTTTATACCCCAACTTTTATTACCATTACCCCTTTCTCTTTCCTACTTTTTCATTTACTCACTACTCATTACACCTTTTACACTACCCCTACTATTTTCCTCTTAAAACCCGTGCCAAAGCCTAGGAGTACTTATATTAAAGAACGGAGGGAGTATAAATTAAAAAAATTATTTTTTAAAAAATAAAAAAACAAAAGAAATAGATAAACTGCATTAAAAAGTATACTCCCGAAATAATCTTTACTCAGCCTCGGTCATCACACAGCAATGTCACCTCCGATCGGCGAAAAATGCCATTTATGTAAAAACTGTCATTTTTCTTTGAAATGCAATAAAGATGGCAGTTTTACTCTTTGAAAATGTTGACATTTTTTTGCTGGTCGGAGCTGGTGGTGTTGGGAGGTTGTTGGCAAATTAGAACATTCCAGTGTTTTTTATACTCCCGAAATCATCTTTACTAATGTTCCACATCTTGTGGTCCTTGGGCGGCTACTAAATTTTCGTCATGTCATGTATCAAATCAGGGCTATAGGATTAGATACACGTATCGGCTCACGAATACGGGTATCAGAAGTATCCATATTTTAAAAAACAAGTCCAATACTTTAATTAATTTACGGATACGGACCTAATACGTACAAGACGTGTATCGGTGAGTATCGGTATGAAATACGCATCGGATAACATATATCGTGATAAAATATGAAGTTGTACTATAACTATACTATGTTGAATCAGCTCTATTGTTGGGAGTTGGGACTTTGGGAGCAAGGAAATACTGCGTACTAGTAGCATCAAGTTACTGTAGTAAAAATATTACTCCGTAGCAATTAGCAAAGACGCCTATAAAGGACTACGACTACGCCATTTCATACAGTGTCCAATGCCGAGTTAAGGCATTATCATTATTTCTACACCTTTCTTTCTCAGTTTCCTGGAAGTTTCATGGGTAGTCGAAACCCTAATAAAAACATTTGCAAACAATTTTACTCTAATCATCTAAACCCTTTATCAAAATCATCTTTTTGTAATTCACTATTCTTCTTGATTATAGTGCTTTATTTCCAATTGGGTGCGTAGTTCTATCCTCTCCCAATTCTGAACGCGACGATGGCTGTAATGAAGGTAGAAAGGGCGGCGGCCTTGCCGCCGTTGCATTCTCTTCCAGTGGGGTACCGGTTCCGACCGACGGACGAGGAGCTGGTGGATCACTACTTGAAGAGGAAGATCACCGGCTCAGAAGCAGAAGTCAGTGTAATTCGCGAGATTGATATCTGTAAGCATGAGCCCTGGGACTTGCCCGGTGAGTTGTTTTTTCTTAAATTGAAGTATTTTCGGTAAATCAAACCCAATCTTTCTTTTGAATTTGGCTTGGTATTTGATTGAAAGGATGCTAAGATCTATCTTAATCAGAAATCCTATTATTCTGCGGATAGTCCTGTTGTGAATTATCTAAATAAATTCTAATTTGATTCGACCATATTGACCGCAAAGTCTGGTTAGCTGGACAAAATTCTAATTTCACTTCCTCTTTTTCTTCTTGATTTTTTTCATCATTTAAACATTTCAGTCTAGTAATATAGCTCTCTTTCACAGAACTAATTTTGTTTCCACTTCAGACCATAGTTCACTTATATTTAGAAACTGATGTTGTTTGTGGACACACTGCTGCTCTTGCAGATATGTCAGTGGTAGAATCACATGACAATGAGTGGTTCTTCTTCTGCCCAAAAGACAGGAAGTATCAGAACGGGCAGCGCTTGAATAGGGCAACAGAGCGAGGGTACTGGAAGGCAACTGGTAAAGATAGGACCATTTCTTCTAGGAAGGGTGGAAAGGTTGGGATGAAGAAGACTTTAGTGTACTACACAGGCCGAGCTCCTGACGGTAAGAGGACTCATTGGGTGATTCATGAATATCGTGCAACCGAGAAAGCATTTGATGGAACACTCCCAGGACAGGTTGGGGCTTCTATGTTCTTTCTGGTGACTCTTAATTTATGCCTGGATCCAGGAAATACTAGGGAAGTTCAAAGGAAAATGAAATATGATTAATGTTTGACAAAATCTTACATGTTTAGATTGTTCAAACTTTTTATGTAATAGAAACTGATAAAGGATTTGAGTTTGAAAAAAATAGTGAACAGTATTTTTTTTGTTATGGTACTCTCAGTTTTTTTTTCACTAGCATTTCCCGGGCTCCGAATGGACCCTTGGTCCCTTATTTGAACATGGTGTCAGTGTTTTCTTCATTATCAAGGCTACTTTTTTTTCCCAATACAATGTTTGAGTAGTTGACCCATTCCTGTGTACAGGCTCCTTTTGTGCTGTGCAGACTATTTAAGAAGGCGGAGTTAAAACAGGATGAAGTTGCTGAAACTTCAAATTCTGATGAGCTGAAGTCACTTGCTGAAGGTGAACCTTCTGAAGGTGTGATTCCTATGGTCATGTCTGGCCACATCAATACACACCCATTGACACCAGAGAAGAGTTTTGAGGAAGCTCCTGGTGGTGGTTCTCTTTTCCCCATCGAAAGTAACAGCAATAGTTGTATTGTTGATAGTAAAGAAGATCAAGTATTTGACATTACTTCGCTTCCGGTGACTAGAAAAAACATTACTTTTCCATCTTGGTTTAATTGTTTTTATTGTATAGGTTAGTTATTTACATCCCTTGTTTTACATTGCAGGCTGATCCAGAGCTTGAAGCGTTGAAATACTTTTGCGACCCTTCAACAGAGCCCATATTTTCTCCCCCATATGCAATGCCAGGTTTCGGATCTACATACGGCTTGTATGGAGAGGTCACAAATGGAATTATGAATAATAATGATATCCAATTTGAGTATGGGACTAACAGTTTTGACCCAAATGAGTTTTTGAACATGGCTGCCCTTGTCAGCTCAGATGGTGAGTCAGAAGCAGAAGTTACTCAAAGGCTGGAAAGTGGAAGCCCTCTTCAGGTTCTTCTACTTTCTAATTTAGGGGAAATTAGGAAGTATAGAAATGTGGGAAGTACATAAATTTATTTCTTATATCTGTGCGAACTCATTTTATTTACCTATCTCTATTATATGAAGACTAAGAAATATGAACGTATAACACAAAACATTAATGGTTTATGAGAAACTGGTTTGTGAACTCATTTTATATATTTGGTTTCTTTTGCTGTGATATATATATATATATATATATATATATATATATATATATATAGGGAACTCTTCCACTAAAGTATACCTTACCGGAGCCGCCGTGCGGCCTCCACGTTTTGAGGGCCTTCCCGATGGAATTTTTCGATGAAATTTTTTGAGCATGTTCTTCATCAAGTCTAGTACATCCATACCAAATTTCAGCAAAAAAATCAATCGGGAAGGCAGTCAAACGATTTTTGGAAGATAACTACGTTTTATATGTATATAAAGGGTGCAGTTATCTACCAAAAATCATTTGACTGCCTTCCCGATTGAATTTTTTGCTGAAATTTGGTATGGATGTACTAGACTTGATGAAGAACATGCTCAAAAAATTTCACGAAAAATTCCACCAGGAAGGCCTTCAAAACGTGGAGGTCGCACGGCGGCTCCGGTAAGGTATACCTTACCGGAAGTTTTTCCTATATATATATATATATATATATATATATATATATAACATTTTTGTTCCTGTCCCGCATATTCTGAGATCCAAACATACTTATAAAGATTCTTATTGCGCCATTTGTTTGTGAGAAACTGGTTTATGGTTATATTTGGTTTCTTCTGCTGTGAAATAAAATCCTAATTTCTTGCGTCTCTTTCAGGCTGATTTGGGTTGTTTTGTAAATCAACTGTTTGTGACAAATAATCAAGAGGGGGTGCTTCCAAGACAGGTTAATTGTGCTGCAAATCCATATTTTGGCGATTACACTGCTCCAAGTTTGGGAAGTGATCACCAGAACTGGAATTTCGATCTCCTGGACAATAATTATTACAGAACGGGTGATTTATCTTCTGTTTCTAGTGGGATTGAGGCCCCTGAAATGGTATACTTTCAACCACAGTGTGCTGTTAATGATGGCACCATATCTGGACCTAAAATAAAATTCAGGTCCAGACAGGTGCAAAATCAACCTGGTGATCATCCGCAGTTAGCGGAACAAGGCACCGCTCATCGGAGAATTCGTTTGCAAAAGAAATTTCAAGTTGGACCTGTTGATTGTATCCGGCGTAGAGACTCAGATCAGGCCGAAAGCGAACAATCAGGAATAACTGATGTAAGCTCTTCCTCACAATAATGAAACCTCATCATTTCCAAGCATTTGTCTGTTAATGTAACTTATTTTTTATCTGGCTTGGCAGGATAATACAGATTCCAAAGAAGATGCTTCTAGTGCCACTAAGATTCAGAATACAATTCTTGAAGGTTGTGGGAAAGATGACAGTGAAGTGGCTGCAACCGCAAAAGCGCAAGGTGAAAGGATTGCCTGTGCATACCCAAAGATGTCATTGTGCTCTGCTTCATCTGCTATTTTCATGCCCAAGGTACTTATGGCTGTAAGCCTATTTGCAGTTCTTGTGGGCGGCTTGGTATGCTTTAGTCTCTAGAGTCTGGTTTGGAGGTAAAGGAGGAGAAGCAAGCGGTGTTCATTGCACAAGAATCACAGTTTTGTGCATCGAGTCCGTAGTGTGTAGCTGGAGTCAGTGAAGAACTCTCATAACTTTAATATTATTATTTTATTATTTTTTTAATTATGAATGGGTTGCAGGACTTTAAATGACATTGGTAGTTATGTTTATTGTATAATATAAAAGTAGAAAACTCTTTTAATTGGAAATCCATTGTGAATCTAGTTTTTTAGCAGCTTCAAAGTGTGAGAATAATGGCAGACTTACCAATGTGATAGCCCTGAATTTCATATAAATAATAGAATATGTGTCCTGAATACATAAGGAAACTGAATAAAATAGGAAAACCTATTAAGACTAATTAATACATTATTACACCCCTCAATCTGTGCAGGAGAAACAACGCGCAGATTGTCCCTAAGAAAAACAAAACGTTGAGGAGACAAACATGTAGTGAAAATATCAGTGAGTTGAAACTGCGTAGGAACATAGCGAATAACCAGATCTTCATGGGATACTCTCTCACGAACAAAGTGATAGTCAATGCTGATATGTTTGTTGCGAGCATGTTGAATAGGATTAATGGAAAAATATGATGCTGCATTATCAGTTTATCACAGAATAGCTGAACATGCGTGGTAATGGGAACCCCAAATTCAAACAGTATAGAGCGAATATGTAGTGTGTCCTGCACGGTATAAGCAATGGCCCTATATTCAGCTTCTGTGGATGATCAAGAGACAGTAAGCTACTTCTGGGACTTCCAAGAAACTAAATTTGGACCCAGAAATATAGCAAAACTGGATGTGGACTTGCTGCTATCAAGACACCCAGCCCAATCAACATCAGAATAGGCCTGTAATGTAGGAGAAGTGGCACTCGGCTGAAGTAATAATCCATGGTCCGGAGTCCCTTGAAGGTACCTGAAAATACGCTTAACGGCCAAAAAATGTGAAGTGGGGGAGCATGCATAAATTGGGACACCAGGTGAACAACAAATGTAATATCAGGTCGAGTCATGGTTAAATATTGTAAAGCACCAACCATACTCCAATACTCAGTAGGATCTACAAGGAGATCTCCATCATTGAGAGATAGTTTAGTTCGTGTAGGAAGAGAGGCACGAACTGGCTTAAGAGTGTGAAGATGGAACCTGGTCAGTAAATCAGACACATATTTTTGCTGAGATAGAAATAACCCTTTGGAAAGACGGACATCTTGGACACCCAAGAAAAAATGTAAATCCTCTAAATCCTTCATTGCAAAATAACGTCCAAGACAAGAGATAAAGCAGCGAATGAAGGAGGGAGAATTACCAGTAGTAATAATGTCGTCAACATAGAGAAGGAGATATAGAATAATGGACGCTTGACGAAAAATAAAGAAAGAATTGTCAGATTTACTACAAACAAATCCATGAGTCAACAGAAAGTTACCAAACCTGTAAAACCAAGCTCTCGGAGCCTGTTTTAAACCATAAATAGCCTTTCGGGGGTGACAAACATGATTAGGAAACTGAGGTTGAATAAAGCCAGGGGGCTGACGCATATAGACTTCTTCTGTTAAATTACCATGAAGAAATGCATTCTTAACATCTAACTGACAATATTCCAACCAAACGACATATGAAGAGATAAGGTGATACGAACTGTGGTGGGTTTAACCACCGGACTAAAAGTCTGAAAAATCCACACCAGCTTGTTGAGTAAAATCTTGAGCAACCAGACGCGCCTTATGACGCTCAATAGACCCATCAGAATTAAATTTAGTTTTATAATTCCATTTAGAACCAACCACATTTTTACGAGGATTAAACAGAACTAAATCCCAAGTTTGATTGTCAATAAGAGCATTAAATTCTTCTGCCATAGCAGCCCTCCATTTAGCATCTTTATTAGCGGTGGAAAAACAAGTAGGATCACATGCCGATATATCCATTTTTAAAGTAAAAATTGATTTTGGTTTAAAAATGCCCGATTTTGATCGGGTTTGCATCGGATGACCATTGTTAAGGGGAGGTGCCGGCTGGAGAGTGATGGCCGACGCAGGACTAAGAATGAGAGAAGTATGGTCCAATGGCGAAGAGTTTGGGTCGGTCGGCAGAGAAGGAGTGATTGACTGTTTTGGGTTAGGGGACGGTGTGGTGGGTGGAGAAGATGACGGAGTAGCTGACTTGTGGGTTAAATGTGGGCTGGCAGTGGGTTGATCCGCAGGTGGACTAGTGGTCTGGTGCTGGGGAGTTGTCGGCGGGCTGGCAGTCGGCCTGGGGTGTGTTGCCGGTGTGCTGGCAGTCAGGTAGGCTGGCTGGGGCATAAAAGCTGAGAAATTAGCGGGAGGGGGTGGAAGAATGGATAATTCATGGAGTTCAACTGTAGACGCCAGTGACAATGGGGAAACAGCCGAGTGCTTTGAGGAAGAAACTAAGTCTCGATATGGAAAATAATTTTCAAAGAACCTCACATTCCTACTAATGTAAAATTTTCTAATAGTAGGATCAAAACAACGATAACCTTTATATTCAGGAGTAAACCCCAAAAATACACACAACGTAGATCGGGGAGAAAGCTTATTGGCAGATGTGGCATTAAAATTTGGAAAACAGGCACACCCAAAAACACGCAAAAAAGAGAAGTCAGGAGTATGGTGAAATAGTTTTTCAAAAGGAGAAACTCAATTCAAATTTGGAGTAAGGAGACGATTGATAATATAGGTAGCCGTACAAATCGCATATACCCAAAATTTAGCTGGCAACTTAGCCTCAAGAAGCATAGTGCGAGTTAATTCAAGTAGATGACAGTGTTTTCTCTCAGCAACACCATTTTGCTGGGGAGTGTCAGGACAAGATTTGCGAAAAAGAATTTCATGCTGAAGAAAAATATTACTCATACCATAATTATCAAACTCACCTCCTCCATCTCTTTAAAAAATTTTAATTGTGGAGTTAAATAAATTTTCGACCATTGCTTTAAAATGCTGAAAATGACATATAACTTCACTTTTATTGCGCATTGGATAGAGCCAAGTAAAACGAGAATAATCATCAATAAATAAAACATAATATTTAAAACCATTCTCAGAAAGAATTGGAGATTGCCACACACCAGAATGAATTAAAAATAAAGGAGAAGTAGATTTTTGCCAAACTTCCTCAAATGGTAATCGTTGTGATTTTCTTAATCTACAAGAAACACAATCATGAGAAAATGTAGAAGTACTTAAAATAGGCCCAGACTTTTTAAGTTTATCTAAAATCCGGCGGCCACAATGTCCCAAGCGTCTATGCCAAACAGGTCCACGAGCAACATGAGAAATAAGAGCAATCGGTTGAGAGTGGCTAAGGGAAATAGGATAGACCCCACCTTTACTAGAAGCTTGAAGAAGCACCTCCCCCGAAATTTTGTCCTTTACATAGATAGAAGATTTATCAAAAATTACAAAACAATTATTATCGGCACATAATTTTTGAATGGATAGTAAATTATATTTCAAATGAGGGACATGAAAAACAAATTTTAAATGGAGAGGTCCAGGCATAGCAGGGAATGCCAAATTACCAACAGTCATAATCGGTAAATTAGTACCATTAGCCACCGCAACAGTCAGCGATTGAGTAGAAATAGATTTATTAACCAAAATACCTTCATTAGAGGTCATATGAGCGGAGGCACCGGAGTCAGGACACGCAACCGCAGAATGACCTGGGGAATGACAAATTTGGCAGACAACAGGGTGAGCGACAGAATCAAAACTATTCTCAAAAGACAAAGGACCTGCAGAACCATAGTTAGTACCAAAAGTAGATAAGGCAGGCGTATTCAACAATGACCCAACAGAATTACATAATACTGTACCCGATTGTCCCATAGGTTGCGGCTGAGGCGGGCCATGGCCGTTGAACTGCTGCTGACGTGGCGCGGGGTGCTGGCCGTGATTCTGCTGCGGCTGGCCGTAGTTCAGAGGCGGCTCTCAGGGGAGTAAGCCCAGGCATTTACCTTTGTGGGGTAAGGGGTATGGTCGGGGTGGGGTGGTAAGGTCTAAGGGTTGGGGGTTGGGTGGGGGTAGTGGGTGGGTTAGGGTCGTGGTTAGAGGTAAGGGTGGGGTAGTGGGTAGGGTTGGGGTAAGGTAGGGGTAGGGTAGAGAGTTGGGATAGGATGGCAGTAGGGTGGGGTCGGGACCAGGGTGGGGCCAAGGTAGGGAAGGGGTAGGGTGGGGGGTAGGATGGCAGTAAGGGTAGGGGTAGTGGGTAGGGTTGGGGTAGGTAGGGGTAGGGTAGGGAGTTGCGATAGGATGGCTGTAGGGTGGGCCCGGGATCCGGGTGGGGTGGGGGGTAGGATGGTGGTGGGGGTAGGATGGCGGTGGGGTGGGGCCGAGGTAGGTGGTAAGGGGTAAGGTATGGGTAAGTGGTAATATACGAGGGGTGGGTCGGGTGGGGTCGAGGTGGTAGGGGGGTGGCGGTAGGGTTGGGTGGATCGGGGTGGGGCCGAGGTAGGGGCATGTGGTAGGGGGTGGGGTAAGGTCATTATAGGGAAAAATGGGTACGCGGGTTGGGGGTTGGGTGGGTAGAGTAGGGTAGGGATAAGGGGTAAGGTACGAGGATGGAGGTACTGGAATGGAATCGACATCAGAGCGGGACCGGACCCACCACTAGGTGCAAATTCATTGCAGCGGCACTGTAGCATCTGCATTTTCCAAATTTGGAAAACTAGTAAAAGTCACTTCTCTAAATCATTACGGAAAAGAGAGACATGTCTCATTTTTTTCGTTTTGGAAAACGATTTGGTAAACGCGTTTTTCTTTTTTCCTTTCTCCAGTTTTCCAGCAATTTCTTTGTTAAACACGTTTCCTGTTTTCTGTTTTCCAGTTTTCTGGAAAATTGGAAAATATATCTGTCAATAAACAGACACTAAATATTTGTGAACCACCATTTATTTGTAGAAAATAACTCTATAGAACCATTTCAGCAGGTATATGAACACATCTGTGAGAAAAGTTAAGTAAGTGCCTCTAGTCCATTGGTGGTGATGAAATGCATCTTGAACAAAGCATCGGAGGGAAGTGTAGGACGAGCCGCCCTCCTCCGCTAGTGCCAGTCTGCTCATTTCACCCAATTCTTTTGCCCTTAGCCTAACCGGATTCAGAGGATCCATAAGCTGCGCGATTCCCCGTTGAATCTCCGCCTCCGGCACAACATTTGAGACCAATTGACCAGTTCCGTCGGAAACTACCTTCTTGGAACTCAGCTTAATCTCCACTCCGGCCCCTATCTCCTTCACTAACAGGAAGGCATTGGCTTCTTGCTCTGCTCCGATAGGCCATGTTCCGATCGGCTTCCCGAACCAGAGGCTCTCCAGAGTGGAATTCCATCCGCAGTGGGAAATGAAGCCTCCCACAGCTGGGTGGGCCAGTATGGCGACCTGAGGGACCCACCCGTTGACCACCTTCCCCACCTTTTCCGTCCTCTCCAAGAACCCATTGGGCAGCAGCCGCCTTCCTTGACCGCCGTCATCCTCTGCTGACCGGAATGCCCACAAGAACCTCTGCCCGCTCCCCTCCAGAGCCGTAGCGATCTCCTTCACTTGCTCCTCATCTTCAGCACCGAAACGAGCCATGCTCCCGAAGCAAAGGAACAAGACAGATCCCTGCTCCTGAAAGCTGTCTAGAAATTCCAAAATCTGCCCTTTTTCGCCGCCGGCGGCCGCCGTTTCCAGATTTAGCAATGGGCCGATGGGGTAGATCGGCGGGGTTAGTGGGTCGTTATTCAGGGCGTTGACCGCGTGTGATTCAAGCTCGAGGAACGTGTTGACCAGCACTCCTCTCGCCCCTCTGATCCGTTCGGATATGTCGAGGAAGGTCTGGAAGGAGTCCTTATTGAGAAGCGGCGGCGGCAGACACTCTGCCGGAAATGGGTTTCGGTAAGTGGGGATGTCAAAGAAGGGGGTGGGATTGTTAGGATGATCGGATAATGATTTAATGGTCTCGAGAGAGAAAATGAGAACCCCCAACGTTGCCGCGCCGGAGGTGAAGAACACATAGGTTGGGATGCCGAGATCATTCCCGACGTCAACCATGGCCGTACAGAAGAAGTCAACCACGAAGGTCAACCTTCCCGAAGATCGGAGGTTTTTCCGGGAAACCCAGTCTCTGACTTGGGGTTTGAAGGCGTCCACCGACCGCACCCCTGTTGCAGGAGCGTCGGTGGCCGGCGGCGGCAGCGTGAGCGTCTCAAACTTCAATGAGCTCGGATGGCGGGAGTCATCCGCCGCCGTCGTCGTTTGGGACTGGATGTAATGGCTGATTTCGGGATCGAAAGACCGTTGCTGCAATATGAGAATGGTGATAATAACCTCATTGCTACCGCCGTCGTTTATCCGCTTTGCCATTTCGACAGCCGATACTATGTGACCCATAATAGGTGTGGGAATGAAGACCAGCTCCATCACTTCTTAATGAATCTGGACGAAGTGTTGAGTTTGGTATATAGCTATTCAATGTAGGATAAATAGTGGAATAATGTGGTGGAATGTAGGATAAATCCAAAAAAAGTAGTTGTAATAGTGTATTATTTTAAGAATTATTGAGGGTATGATGGGAAGATTTAGAAATGAGAAGATTTTTGTGTTACGGACGAAAAAGGAAAGTGTGGAGATTTTTAAGTTACGGAGGGAGTATAAATTTATAATGCTCTTTCCTCTGCAATTTTGTGAGGAGAGTATAAATAGGTGGTGGTCTTAGCAATGTTGACTCCGTCAGCCATGAGGCACGAGCAGAGTCATCCAAGTTGACTACGTCAGCCATGAGACATGAGCAAGGTCATCCCAAAAAGTGTTGCAGTGTTGCTACTCGCACCTAATTATTAGTAAGGACAATTTTTAGGATAGGACTAAAACTAATTAAGTTTCTCTAAATATGGGTTTAATGCAACAAACTCCCATGATATGGAAATTCGACGCATTAGCCTCTTATGCTTTGAAAAAAGCGTCAAACCCCCATGTGTTTTAATTAATCATACATAACTCCTTTTATGAATAAATTTAACGATTTGTAAATCAATTTTCCTAATATTCTGATTGAATATGCAAGTAAATATGTCAAAATCATTAAAGCATACAAAAATGTTAATCATTTTTTTTAGAAATAATTACATTAATATGACCAAAATAAAAATGGTTTACAAAAATATGATTAATTATTAGAGTAGTAATGAAAACATAGTAATTCATGTTCAAGTTTCGAACTTAAATTACTACAACACTACGTTGTAGTAATGAGTAGTCATATTTATGTAAATAAGTTTTATTTTAGTAATATTGTTGTAAAAAAACCTTTTTTTATTTGAAAATTTAGTTTGTTCATAGAAAGAATTTGAGCATAATTAATTAAAACACAAGAAGGTTTGATGCATTTTTTAAATCACATGGGGCTAACGCGCCAAATTTCCATATCACGAGGGGGTTAAGTGCATTAAACCGCTCTAAATATGACTAATTTTGTTTTTAGACTTTTGTATGACCGAAAATCCATAAGAAAAAAGAAAATTTCGTTTTAATTTAAATGTTGAATGAAGAAAATAACCTTATTTAAAATATGTGCATTTTGCACTTATTTCGTTCAATTAACATTATTACACTTAATTTCGTTGTAATAATCACTGTACTTCCTCCAAAATTAATTCTCTTCTCATTCACTTTAGGAATTTATTTATAGTTTTTATTATTTATATTTTAGATTTAATAATTTTTACTCCCTCTGTCCAATTGGACTTTGTCAAGTGCAAAGTATGTGAGAAATAAGAATAATAAAAAATGTGTGGTTGAGATTTGTGCAGAGGAGAGAGCAATGTGCAGAATCACAAATTAGTTGCTTTAATAGGAAAGTGGCAAAACTTTAATAGGTAAGGACATAAAATGTAGCTTAAAAATGTTGGTGTAACTTGTTTCTTACAATCTTATAAACATGAATAGAGGTAAGGACATAACATATACTCCCTCCGTCCCAAAAAATTGTTCCCGCATTGACTTGGATCGGAGTTTAAGAAAGTAGGAATAAAGTGGAAACGTATGATCGCAGTAGTGTAAAAAAAGGTAAATGAATGTGAGCTACACAAAACTTTCTAAAAGGGGAAAGTGGAACAATTTTTTGGGACGGCCTAAAAATAAAATCGGGAACAATTTTTTGGGACGGAGGGAGTAGTTTAAAATTTTGCTAAGTAGAATAGATCTTTAGATGTAAAAGTTGTACAACTTTGAGAGAGTTGTACAACTTTGACAGTTTGTAGACACTTGGACGTTTAGACACTTGCCTCCGTTAACTTTGAGCTTTAGTAATCCGTTAACTTTGTTGACCTTTAGTTTTTTTTAGCTAGGTATATAGCTAAAGTTAACTATCAAGTCATCAAGGCATACCATACATACTAATATACGTAGATAACAAAACTCATTAATAAAATGGACATAGGTAATTTTAACTAGATTTTGATTCAACGAGATGGTAACATGTTGATAACCTTATACTACCTCTGTCCCAAATTGATTTGCAAATTTGACTTTTCTTGGTCAAACAATTTTGTTTTGTTCGCTTAATTAGGATGTCAATTTTTAATTATATTCTAATTTGGTGTTTACAACTTTGAAAAGATTTCAATATAATTTATGAATATGTAAATTTTAATTATTAAAAATAGAGTTAATTATCCGTAAAGAGGATTGACTTTTATTATTGGTTGACAAAAAAATGTTGACTTTGCAAAACAAATTGGGACGGAGGGAGTATCATGTTTTATATGTTTGCATACTTCCTCTCAGAATAAAGGTGGTCAAAGCATAATAATATTGATTTCACATTAAAACCATTTTATTTATAGACTTCTGAGGCATAGGAGGGAACGCAATTAACTAAACTCATACTTATACATAGAGGGGCTGGAGAAGGCCTCGACCCTTCTAAGAAAAAAAATTGTGATGTACGTAGTATGTACATATATAAGTATTTATAGGTAGTAAGGAATCAATTTGTGATGTACGTAGTATGTACATATATAAGTATTTATAGGTAGTAAGGAATCAGTAAAATTTTACGATTTGACCCCTACAACATAAATATTTTTTTATGCTTTGGACCCCCGGCCTACCATTTCTGGCTCCTCCACTACTTATGCAGAAAAAATTCCAAAGATGGTGACATAGATTGGAACAACCAATTTTAACCACCTTTAGTTAATATCTAGATCTCTGAGTGTGTCATGCTTGCTAATAAGGGTCAAAAGTTTGCAAAGAAACATATCAAATGTCTTTATAACAATTCTTATTATGGAATAAATTATGGATAAAGCTTTATTGCAATTTCAAACAACTTAATTAAAAAGTTATGTATTAAGATTTCATTATGTTAATTTTATTAAAATAGCATTGGGCATTTTACCTCTCGCACATCGTGTGTAGTAAACTAGTATTTTGTACTTTAAATAAAAGATAAGTACAAATCTACAATTTTATGCATTGACATTACTATGGCATAATGTAATGTCATATGAATGAATCTAAACTAATCAACACTAACTCATAGTTGAGTAATTTGCGAGCTTTTCAGTCGAGTTTTTATATAACTTGAGCTTGACTTGGTTTGGTTCCAGCAGTTGAGTTTGAATACGAGTTAGATTCAAAAAAGAATTGAGTCGATCTCGAGTAACTTACATGTCGATTTTCCTGATTAGGACTCTTAGTGTCCGTTTGGTATCACTAAAATCGGCCGAATCGGCTGAAATCTATGAAATGATGGTCGAAATGGCTGGATTGATTGATTCTGCTAAATTATAAAAAAAATTATATTTGAAATATATTTGATTAATAAAACAAGGAAAAAAATTATATGTAGTATGAAATAGTTAATAGTCCACTATAGTAACTTCAATCAAAATAGTCAGAAAACAACTTTAACCTTACTTTATCTTATTATTATGCAATTTAGCGTGAGAAAACATACATATTTGTGCACCTGCATTTATTTGTATGGAAATAACTATGTAAAACCATTTAAGCAAATATTTGAAAACATCACTCGAAAAATTGAGGAAGAATGGGACATGGGTAGCTATCAATTGAAACCAATTGCTGGTGATGAAATGCATCTTGAACAAAGCGTCGTAGGGATGTGTAGGACGAGCCGCCCTCCGCCGTTAGTGCCCGTCTGCTCTTTTCACCCAATTCTTTGGCCTTTTGCCTAACGGGGTTCAGAGGATCCATAAGCTGCGCGATTCCCCGTTGAATCTCCGCCGCCGGCACTATCTTTGACACCAATTCATCAGTTCCGTCGGAAACTACCTTCTTGGCAGCCAGCTTAATCTCTACTCCGGCCCCTATCTCCTTCACTAACAGGAAGGCATTGGCTTCTTGCTCTGCTCCGATAGGCCATGTTCCGATCGGCTTCCCGAACCAGAGGCTCTCCAGAGTGGAATTCCATCCGCAGTGGGAAATGAAGCCCCCCACAGCCGGGTGGGCCAGTATGGCGACCTGAGGGACCCACCCGTTGACCACCTTCCCCACCTTTTCCGTCCTCTCCAGGAACCCATCGGGCAGCAGCCGCCTTCCTTGACCGCCGTCATCCTCTGCTGACCGGAATGCCCACAAGAACCTCTGCCCGTTCCGCTCTAGAGCTGTAGCGATCTCCTTCACTTGCTCCTCATCTTCAGCACCGAAACGAGCCATGCTCCCGAAGCAAAGGAACAGGACAGATCCCTGCTCCTGAAAGCCGTCTAGAAATTCCAAAATCTGCCCTGTTTCGCCGCCGGCAGCTGCGGCTTCCAGGTTCAGCAACGGGCCGATGGGGTAGATCGGCGGGGCGCGTGGGTCGTCATTCAGGGCGTTGACCGCGTGGGATTCAAGCTCGAGGAATGTGTTGACCAGCACTCCTTTCGCCCCTCTGATTCGTTCGGCGATGCCGAGGAAGGTCTGGAAGGAGTCCTTATTCAGAAGCGGCGGCGGCAGACACTTAGCCGGAAATGGGTTCCGGTAGGTTGGGATCTTTATGAACGGGGTGGGATTGTTAGGATGATCGGATAATGATTGGATGGTCTGCAGAGAGAAAATAAGAACCCCCAGCGTCGCCGCGCCGGAGGTGAACAACACATAGGTTGGGATACCGAAATCATTCCCGACGTCGACCATGGCCGTACAGAAAAAGTCAACCACGAAGGTCAACCTTCCCGAGGGTCGGAGGTTTTTTCCGGAAACCCAGTCTCTGACTTGGGGTTTGAAGGCATCCACCGACGGTACCCCTGTTGCAGGAGCGTCGGTGGCCGGCGGCGGCAGTGTGAGAGACTCAAACTTCAATGAGCTCGGATGGCGGGAGTCCTTCGCCGCCGTCGTCGTTTGGGACTGGATGTAATGGCTGATTTCGGCATCGAAAGACCGTTTCTGCAATATGAGAATGGTGACGGTGGTGATAATGGCTTCATCGTCGCGCCCACCATTGATTAAGTGCTTTGCCAGTTCTACAGCTGATACTATGTGACCCATAATGGGTGTGGGAATGAAGACTAGCTCCATTGCTTCTTAATTAATCTGGACGAAGTGTTGAGTTTCGGTAATTATAATGCTCTTTTCCTCTGCAATTTTGTGAGGAGAGTATAAATAGGTGGTGGTCTTAGCAATGTTGACTACGTCAGCCATGAGGCATGCATGAGC